TTTGTTTTGTTTTAGTCTAGAGAGCTGACAATTAAAAAAAAAAAAGAAAAAAGAAAAATGTCATATTTGTAAGCAAATGTGTTTGTTTTTTCTAGGGCTGACTTCTTAGGAGACACAAGAAATGACATATAAGAACATAAAGAAAAAAAGGAAGTTTTTTAAAAACTATGTTTATTGTTAATATTATCTTAGAGGTAAGTAAAGATGGTACATTCATGAGAAGAAAAAACAAGAAACTATCAAAACTCAAAGAGCAAAGAGCAAATGCTAGAGAATTCAAAACATGCTCAAAGAAATTTAAAGTCTCAAAGAATGGTTGAATGACAAAGAATTGGAAATATGCCAGAAAGTAAAACAAATCCTGAAAAAGATAGAAAAGGGGGACGAACAAAACAATGAAATAGAGCATAGGAGATTTGGGGAATCAGTCCTGGAGATTCAATATTTATACAGACATTCAGAAAGAAAGAATAGAAGCAAGAGAAAAAGTCATCAAAGAACAAATGCAAGATCATTTACCACAATTAAGGCGTCCATTGAGTGGGTGTTCAGCACAATGGATGAAAGAAGACTCACACCAGGTCTCAGCATTGTGAAATTTCATCATAGAGGCAGAAATGAAATCATACAAATTTCCATAAAAATTTTAAAATATTATGTGAAGCCAATCAGAAATTATAATTCCTTCACACTTATCACAGCAGTATGGAAGTCTAAGAGACAGGAATGCTACGTTCAAAACTACTAGGGATTTTTTTCCTCAACAGTCCCAGTTATTTCTTGCTACATAGCAAACAATTCCAAACCTCTAAATCATATGTTTTTCTCCCAAATCTGCACTTTGGATAAGGTTCATAAGAGAACGTTTTCTTGCTCCATGTAGCATAAACCAGGATGGTGTGACTGGTCAGGAGAATTCCCTTCCAAGTGAGCTTACTCATGTGACTGGTGAGTTGCTGCTGCTATCACTTCTACTTCATGTGGGTGTCTCCACTGAGTGGTTTCTGCTTCCTCACAGTATGAGGAACCCAACCCACTGGACAGGTTCCAAGAGTAACTGTCTCAAGGAAAAAAAAATAAGAAGAAAATCCTAACACTAGACAACATTTTGTGTCTTACCCTTGGATGTCACATAGCGTCACTACCACCAGAGTCACGTATCTGTTCAGATTCAGATCAGGAAACAGAGACCACCCTCCCAGCTCTATGAGAGGAGCATCAAAGTCACATTCTTATAGCATGTGGGATGGGAGCTGTTGTAGCTACTTTTGGAAAATATAATATCCCACATCAACCCAGAATTCCATACCCAGATAAACTATTTATTAATTAAGTGCAAAGGTTGAATGAAGGTATTTTTCAAACATGTCAGATGTTAGAAAATTTGCCTCCCAGGTACTTATTCTCAGGAATATGTAGGAGAATGTGCCTTATCAAGACATGAGAATAAACCAACAAATATGAGGATTGAAATCCAGGAATGCAGAAGCTTCATAGAGACTTCATAGAGAGATGAAGGACTCCCCAGGATGGTGACGGGTGATCTCAGAGTGGCAGTTGTCTATCACTTGTAAAGAGCAACCAACCTGGACAGAAGGCTCTGGGAGTGATGTCTCCAAGAATATCTCATTTTTACAATGTAGGATGTTTGATTGTATTGAGGAAGATTTAATCTATTAGGGAAGAAATTGAGGTTAAAGATGGGCACATAGAAAACTAAGGAGACAAAGACATAAGACAGTCAAATTCAAGAAAGAGTTTTCAAGGCAAGAAAAGCAATTCTATCCTACTGACTTAAGTAAGAATACTGTTTATATGGTCATAAAATATCAACATTAAATACCTATAGAACCAAAATTCTGCTGTATTTGTATTGAGAGAATGGGATGTGTGGTTGAAATGTGGATGTGGATGGGAGTAGGGGAGATTGAAGAAAACTAAGTCATTATTTTCTACAATAGGAAATGAATAGTTGAGGTCTAAAATTTAGACATCAGGAAGTTGTCATGTAAGTATGCCTCTTAGAGACATTGATAAATAAATTTATAAAGTGATCTGAAAGTGCTTGCCTCTGGTAAATGGGATGAGTGAGGAAGGATGACCAGGGAATGAATAAAAAGAATGCTATTTTCATAAACCTCATTAAACTTTTTTTTTTTTTTAACGGAGTCTCACTCTGTTGCCCAGGCTGGGATGCAGTGGTATAATCTCTGCTCACTGCAGCCTGAGCCTCCCAGGTTCAAGTAATTCTTGTGCCTCAGCCACCTGAGTAGTTGGGATTACAGGTGCCTGCCACCATGCCTGCCTAATTTTTGCTTTTTTTGTACAGATGGGGTTTCACCATGTTGGCCAGGCGGGTCTCGAACTCCTGTCCTCAAGCGATCCACCTGCCTTGGCCTCCCAAAATGCTGAGATTACAGGCATGAACCACCGCACCCAGGCCCCTCATGAAACTATTTGACTCTCAAGAATAAGGAATAGGGAAGCCTACATTTTTCCTTGGAGAGCACATTGTGGTTTTCACTCTCTGTAATCACCGCCAGATGTTACCAGGATCTCTGGGAGGAAAGGGCAGAGGGGCTAGCTGTGTGTATGGCAGTAGAGCTGCTCCTATCTCCCCATAGCTGCCTACCTCACCCAGAAGCTGCAGGAGCACTTTCCAGCTTCCCGTGCACCCAGGGCTGGTAGAGGACAGAGGGGCCTGCACCAAAGGTGTCCTCATCTGTTTCTTGCTGCCTCCATGGCCTTAGAGGAGAGAATTTACTTCTTAAAATTGACCTTTGATAAATGGGACAGAAATAACTATCACTTCCAAAAAAACTCATTAAGCTTCCTGGGAAATATGGATGTAAATAAAATATTGATTAAAAGCTAAAAGGATTTTAATTAGGTTACTTAGTTTAATAGTTTAATTTGGCAGAAACAGACAACTTGGACAAGGTTCTTTGTGTAAGCACATTTCAATTCACTAATTAAAATTTCAGATGGCAATCTGAGATTAGCAAAGGGATCTTCAAAGGCAAGCAAGATGCCCATTTATTTTATTTTATTAAAAAAAAAAAAAGCAATTGCAAGATGTTACTTTGAGTTCTCTCTTGGAAATAATGTGAGTGCCTGAATATATTGTAACCCACTTTGGTCCATATACCAGCTGTAATTAATTTATAGTGAACAGGAAAGATAATTTGGTGGCAAACATCACATAAATTATACTTTTATTAAAGAATCTCCTGTGTTTTTAACAGAATGGAGAGAATCGGTTTTTCGCAGATCCAGTGTTATTAAGTAGGAGAAATTAACTCCTAAACATGTAAAACTCATAGCACAGAGAAATGTTATTTATTCACCCCAATTCAGCTAGTGCATAAACTATTTTGAAAGGAGACACCCAGTGAACCTCTATTTTGAGTCCCTATTAGGTAATTAGATATCGATATACTAAATGGCATACTTCAAGGTCAGAGCTATGTCTGTGCTCTGTTTAACACAGTGCAGCACAGAGAGTATATCAGTTGGGGATAGTGATTACAAGAACAGACTCTAGAGTCACATGCCAGGGCTCAAATCCTGGTTTGCCACTAAATAGTCACATGACCTTGGGCAATTTAAATAGCATTCCTATGTCTTAGTTCCCACATGTATAACATAGAAGAGGTAATAATTTTACCGACTTTGCAGAATTATGATGAGGATTAAAAGCATACATTTAAAACAGTAAGTGAAGCTGTGGAATGTGATCATACCTAATAAATGTCAGTTCTAGAAATATGTAAATTAGAGTGGTAGAATTGCAGAAAATTGAAAATTGTTATTTTTAATGGGAGACAAAGAAAAAGAATAATCATCACGGACTATATTTTAAGATAGATCTAGATTCAAATCCTCACTCTAATGTTCATTAGCTGTGTGTGCCTTGAGCAAGTCACTTAACTGCTGTGCTTCAATTTCCTTTTATACAAAATGAGGATAACCACACCCCACTCAGAATGTTATGGAAGAGTCAATCATGTTAAGGCCCTATAAAAACTTGACCCATAGGACTTGTTCAACGAATGTTAAGTTACCATCTTTTCTCTTATACAATAAACAAAAGAATAGGGCCAGGCGCGGTGACTCACGCCTGTAATCCCAGCACTCTGTGGGGGCCAAGGCAGGTGGATCACGAGATCAGGAGATCGAGACCATCCTGGCTAACACGGTGAAACCCCGTCTCTACTAAAAATACAAAAAATTAACCGGGTGTGGTGGCGGGTGCCTGTAGTTCCAGCTACTCAAGAAGCTGAAGCAGGAGAATGGCATGAACCCGGGAGGCAGAGCTTGCAGTGAGCTGAGGTCACACCACTGAACTCCAGCCTGGGCGACAGAGTGTGAGACGTCATCTCAAAAAAATAAATAAATAAAAATAAAAATAAATATAAAAAAGAATAGAGGACATATGTCTGGTGAACTACACTATAAAAATTTATAGATGTGGTGACTCAAGGTGGTGGCTTCCATTACTTTAAATTCTGTAGGAAGGACTTCAGTGATGTATTGATTTTATGAAAGCTACCCAAACACAGGAGGGCCTGCGTATGCCCTGATACAATCAAAATCCATCACTCATCCATTATAGGAGAGGCAGCATTTTGATTCACACACACATTAATTGTACATGTCAAAAATGCTGGTATTTACATAAAAAATCATCAGAGCTTTTGTACAAAAGCCATGACAGTGGGATGACAATCACTCCCTCCTTAACAACTTCAGAGAAAGTGCTGAAGGCACTAATCTCACCTCACGACTGTGTTTGTGACCTCAGCCCAAATATTTCACTGATATCATGTTAAGATACTGGGTTGAAATTCTTATGTGATGCTGATTTCCACGTAAATTTCCAAATACCTTTCATTGATACAAATGCAACTGAATGGAGATAAGACCACTGGTTTCAGAAGGAAAGTCAACATATTTCCTATGATTATCACCAGTAACTAAGGCAACCAGACACCCCTTTGTTTATTTTTAATAAAGTCTTTATTAGGCCAAAAATCATGAAGATGAAAAACAGAGAGAAGTGAGAGGGAAGCCTGTATATCAAATATTCAAAGAACTGAGATTTTTAATCTGGTTTTACATCCCCCTAATCTATGTAATTTGAATATTACAACCATTTTGGTATAGCCAAAGATTTCCCTTCATCATTCAAAATTGTCAATTCCTGTTTTGAAGGTCTTGGTTTAGCAGAAAGTTGGAACAAGTCGCCTTCCCAGAGTTTTATTTCTTCTAACACTTAGGTCAAATTTTTCTAATGTTCCCGTTTACTCCTTTAAAACTCAGCTGCTGTTGGAATCTGCCAAAGCCTTCTTCTTTCTTCCTACCACTTTCCGAACCCATAATCTGTGCCACTCAATTAACATGTATTTTCAACCTATGACATGTGCCCAATCTATCTTAATAACAACATGGATGAGTAAAAGAAGTACTAGGACCATGACCTTGTGAAATGTATATTATAGCTTGAGAGGCAAAAACCGATGTATACAAATAGAGAAAGTGTAAGACGACATGTAATGAAAAGCATAATTGTGTAGCTCAGGGCATATATGAACAGGATGACCCAATAAAATATGCTTATAAAGCCAGTTGGGGTTTCAAACTCCCTTTACTGGGAATGGGATTACAGGTCATTTCATTCTGCCTCCCACATGTACCATGTGCCACCCTATAGTAATGAAACGGAAATCACTCACCATACACACAAATCTTTTCACTATTGAATAAATAAATACATACTTAAAGTCCAACTTTTTTCTAAATTAAAAAAATCTAATTAATATTTTTTCCCCTGATTTGGTAAAGTATTATAGATCCTGTGGGGCGAACCAATTGGTGGCTAGGTTTAATGACACAAGGCAATCACTGACTGCAAAGGCTTTTTCTCCAACAAAAGCCATATTCTATTAGTATTCAGTAAATCCTTGAAACAGACATAAGCTCAAGCCACCAGGCAGCTCTTTGTCTGTCATTATCGGCTGTTCTTTGATGAAACTGCTATCTTGGAAAATGCATCTGCCTTCCTTGGGAGATTGTTAAGCACTGAAGAATGAATGAACCTGCAATTTCTAGGCTGTGTAGTTTTGCTCTGAATAGCAACCAATGGAAGAAGGTAAGTGTGGCATCTCTGATCAGCCTGATCCTGAAATAAGAAGGTTATACAAACAATTTCAAAGCCAGTTTTTGTTCATTGGGTAAAAATTCACTAAATCCCATATATCTCCTAAGGGACTCTATCTATTTTTAATTTTTTTCCTTAAAATTAAAAGAAAACCTACCCAACTAATAAAAACAAACCTTTAATTCCAGCAAGGCAAGATGATAATGCAATTTTAACTCAAGCTTCATTTGAAATTAACTGATTAGAATATCCTAAATGATGAAATGCTAGGTTAGTCATCTTTGGAAACTGAAGTTATCCTTTGGTGCTTGAATAGACATCTTTGAACATTATTCTTTCCATCTCCTCTAAATTTCACTTTCAAGTCCTTTCCTCTAGTCTCCAGTGTCATTGTGTGGAACTATAGTGATAGTGCCCATTGTTCCCCCAAAGTCATAGTTGTGTAGATTCATGTTTCCACTGTGAACTTCTGACATGAGATTATCAAAGATACATAAAACAGAGCAAACTGTCCTTTCTTATCTCCCCAATCACATCTTTATTTCATTGTCATTACTCTACATAGTCATAGGGCTGACATATAAAAATGGTCTAGACTATAGCTTCAATTTCTGCATGGAAACATGGCTTGTGTTCCTAGCATGACATCCATTAAAATGGTAATGTTAGATCGATGGACCTGTGCTGAGTCAAAAACTCTGCCAAGAATGTGTGAATGCAGGTAGCCTTTCTACCAGGGGCACAAACTGAAATAATTGTCACGTTTACTGAACACTTGCCATGTGTCAGAAACTATTCCAGGGACTCTGTATGTAGTGAGTTCAATTAATCTTTATATACTCCTGTGAGGTAGGTATTATTGTTATCTTCATATCCCATATGAAAAAAATAAAGAGAACGTAAGTACCTTGCCAAGGGTTACACCACTAGTAAATGAAGGCAGAAGGATTAGCAGCCAAGTCTTGTGGTTATAGTCAGCTTCCTAAACTACTACTTACCTCGAAAACTACTGTAGGGTTAAAGCAGGTTATAGAAATGAGCAAAGCAGACAATCCCAGCTTCTGGTTGCTAGGTAGGACTATGGACTTTATATTGACATATCTATTCATATTACAGAAGAAACCTGAAACCTGGATTGCTTATGTTAAGTCCATTTGCTTTCTAAATGTTGAGAACCAGAACAAGACAAGAATGCCTACTCTCACCACTCCTCTTCCACATAGCACAGGAAGTCCTAGCCAGAACAATCAGGCAAGAGAAAGAAATAAAAGGCATCCAAATAGGGAAAAATGTCAAATTATGTCTCTTTGTTAATGATACGGTTCTATACTTAGAAAACCCTAAAGACTTCACCCACAAGCTCTTAGAACTGACAAATGACTTCAGTAAAGTTTTAGGATACAAAATCAATATACAAAAATCAGTAGCATTTCTATACACCAATAATGTTCTAACCGAGAGCCAAATTAAGAACACAATTCCATTTATAATAGCCATGAAGAAAATTAAATACCTAGGAAGACAACTAACCAAGGAGGTGAAAGATCTCTACGAGAACTACAAAACACTGATGAAAAAAATCAGAGAGGACACAAATAAATGGAAAAACATTTCATGCTCATGAATTGGAAGAATGAATAGTATTAATATGGCCATACTGCCCAAAGCCATTTACAGATTCAATGCTATTTCTATAAAACTACCAATGTCACTTTTCACACAAGTACAAAGAACTATAAAATTAATATGGAACCAAAAAAGAGCACAAATAGCCAAAGTAATCCTAAACAAAAAGAATGAAGCCAGAGGCATTGCATTACCTAACTTCAAACTATACTATAAGGCTACAGTAACCAAAACAGCATGGTAATGGCACAAAAACAGACACATAGACCAATAGACCAGATTACAGAACCCAGAAATGAAGCCACACACTTACAACCAGCTGATCCTCACAAGTTCAACAAAAATAAGCAATGGAGAAAAGACCCTCTCTTAAATAAATGGTGCTGGGATAACTGTTTATCCATATGCAAAAGAATGAAACTGAACCCCTACCTATTACCAGATATAAAAATTAACTCAATATAAAGACTTACATGTAAGGCCTCAAACTATAAAAATCCTAGAAGAAAACCTAGGAAATACTTTTCCCCATATTAACCTTGGCAGATAATTTAAGCATATATCCTCAAAAGAAATTGGAACAAAAACAAAAATTTGCAAGTGGGACCTACTTAAACTAATGCACTTCTGCATGGCAAGAGAAACTATCAAAAGAGTAAACAGACAACCTACAGAATGGGAGAAATATTCACAAACTATACATCTGACAAAGATTCAAAATGTATGAGGGACTTAAATCAATAAGCAAAATGCAAATAAGCTCATTAAAAATAGGCAAAAGACATGAACAGACACTTCTCAATAGAAAACATATAATGACCCATAAACATATGAAAAAATGCTCATCATCGTGAATCATCAGAGAAATGCAAATCAAAACCACAACGAGATACCTTCTCATGCCAGTCACAGTAACTTTTGTTAGAAAGTCAAAAAACAACAAATATTGGCGAGGCCATGGAGAAAAGGAGACACTTACAAACTGTTGGTGGGAATGTAAGTTAGTCCAGCCACTGTGGGGAGCAATTTGAAGATTTCTCAAAACTGAAGAGTTGAAATACCATACAACTCAGTAATTCCATTACTGGGTATGTACCCAAAGGGAAATAAGCCATTCTACTGAAAGGACACATGCAACCCTATGTTCGTTGCAGCAATAGTCACAATAGCAAAACTTGGAATCAACCCAAGTACTCATCAACGGTGGATTGGATAAAGAAAATGTGGTACATATATGCCATGGAATACTATGCAGCTATCAAAAAGAATGAAATCATGTTCTTCATAGCAACATGGATGCAGCTGGAGGCCATTATCCTACATGAACTAATGTGGAAACAGAAATCCAAATACCATTTGTTCTCACTTATAAGCAGGAGCTAAACATAAAGACAGGAATAATAAACAATGGGGACAACTAGAGCAGGAAGAGGAAGAGGAAGGAAAGGGCTGAAAAACTTCCTATTGGGTACACTGCTCACTACCTGGCTGACGGATTCAGTCATACTCTAAACTTTAGCATCACACAATATACCTTTGTAAGAAATTTGCACATGTATCCTCTTTATTCTAAAATAAAAGTTGAATAAGAAAAAAAAATTGCTAAATATTTAGTATTATTTTATAAATGTTTTTAAACACCATTCTTGAAAACAAACCACACTTCTAGGGACCACAAGTTCACAACCTCTACTTTAAACACACAGCGTGGCACATTAGACTACAGCACAAACTGCACGAGAAGCTGTTTACACTTGTAAGAAGAAATTTGCAGAATTGTCAAGCTGAGGCCCATATAGCTCATCTCGGCCAACATTCTATCCCAAGTGAGAACTGTAGTGCATCAGCTCATTTCATCACCTGGCCAAAAAAATTGTTAGAAAAATCTTCCTTCTATTCCATCAAAATAGTCCTTTTGGTGTTTGATTTAGGTGATCTTAGCTCTGATTCTCTGGAGATACACCACTAAGACAAATCTTTTTTTCTACAGAATACCCTTTCAGCTTTCTTTCAACTTCTTCATCTTCTATTTTATATTGTACAATCACAGATTCTTCAATAATTCCAGTGACATGGCTTTAAAAACTTACCAGCCTTTAAATAAAGGCAAATAATAACTTTTATCAAGCATCTAATATGTGCTATTCTGATGGTGTCCAAAGTCTTCTATTGATTTACAGTTGTCTACCATAAATATATTTTGAATATATATTGTTATATGTTTAACTTTATATGTTACTTCATAAATTGTATATGCCTAGATAATATACATTTGCTATCTCAAGGCATAATATATATTTAATTTAGTTCAAGGTTTCTCAACCTCGACACTATTGATTGGGGGCCAGATAATTCTTTGTTGGTGGTGGGGGTTATACAATGTACATTATAGGAGGTTTAACTACATCCCTGGTCTCTCCCCATTACAGGCCAGTAGCACCTCTCAGTTTTAATAACTAAAAATGTCCAGGCATTGCTAATATTCCAAATGTCTCCTCAGGGGCAAAGTCACCCCTGATTTAGAACCATTGAGTTAGGGCAAGCTTTACCATTCAATGTTATAGATCTAAACGCATAGTTCAGATGTTCTTCTTGACAATTTCAAATTTGTTAGCCAGCTTCTTTAGACTTATTTAGATTGCTATTGCTTTTAGCTCTCCATGTGGCTAATGAGGAGTTTGTGCTGGGAACAGAAGTACAAGTTCTCCCACCTTGTTTGGTTTCCTTGTTCTACCATTAGTTTTACTTTTGATCTGGTGCCTCATTGAGAGAACCTTCTCAAGTTACTTCTCAAACCCACTTAACTGGGCCTGTTTAAGTTGAAGTATGTCATGATCCCCAGAGCACACAGGAGTGTGGGCACCAAGATGAAACCTTTGCTCCAACCCCATATATATATAGTATGGGGTATGTGACACATGACCATCTCCCAGAGAGCATGCCAGTGACAATCTGTAGAACAAAGATCACTTAGGTTCAATGAATTTCTTTCTCTCTATAAAATGTAAATATTAATAGTAGTTCTAATAATTTTATCTTCCCACAAAGAACTGTTTTGCTCCTCTCTGGGTTACATATATCTCACTTTAGAGATCATGGTACCCAGCAATGGAAACTCCAGGAACATTATCTTATTTGTTTCAGATTAAAAATTTCCACTAAAATATGAAACCCAAACAAGAGCAGGAAGGCCTTCTCATCAGTGCTGTGTCAGGAGGACCTTCACCCACCGAGGATGCTCCCTAACCTCCTCCTAGTGAGGTGTCTGGGCAGGTAGGTGGCAGGTTGAGTCCCACTGTGCTGCCAGATTTTGTAGTATTAGAATCCTTTTCCATTTTGTTAAGATCTTTTCAAAACTCCGGTCTCCTCTGGATTTCTGTTCCTTTTGCCTCCCT